TGTCTACCATAGTCTAAGGAAGATGAAAACCTAGTTAGGTTGTGGGCTTCATAGTTTGAGCCTCTTTGTTCATGGACAAAATAACAGAGTAAAAGAAGATTCCATAGCCAAGATTTTCATTACGATAACTCCATATTTCCCTCCTTGTCCGATACCAATGTAGTTCACCACACTTCAAAGATCCGACGCCACGTGCAATCTTCGAAGATAGTGACCCGTAGCCAAAGCGAGCCCCTTTCGGCATGTCAATGCCTCCAGAATATATAGATCAGTTACTCCAGGTAAAACAAAGGCTCCCAGGTAAAGACCATGATCATCCCTACAAACAGCGCTAGCAACACCGATAATCTTATGTTTAGTATTTACATGTCCGACCAAAAAATCTGAAAGTTTTATCCCACATTCTAGTTAGAAAGCTTTGTTGTGTTGCAAAGTTTGAAGTTCAAAATATGTTTTATATGAGAGAAACAAAAAATATAAAACTTCATGTAGTAAGTTAGTCAAAGCAACATTGGAGGGGTTAGGATAAAAGGTGTCCGGATGCATGAGCTTAAAAAAGCCACGTTCATAATGAGGGGGCCATTCGATTGAGGTCTTCCTGTGGGTGATAGACGAGATGTATGGAAGGGATGTCATGCTTTCACTATTGCATGAATGCCTAGTACTGGCGGGCGCGTGCCCGCGACTTTTAACTAGGTCTCTAGTGGCGGTTGCAAACTAGAGCCTGCCACTGATATAGTCGTGTAGCCAAATCATATTTGTTGCCACGGCTCTGCCATGGCAACATTTATACACATTAGTTCACTAGAGTAAATTGACATGGTCAACATAGTTATATAATTCTTAACAAAGAAGAAACTGACTAACACTTCAAATTTGTTCTACTTAAGAAACAAACATCAATGTATCACATCCATCTTAAGAGTTCATTCGACTACATATTCTTGACTTGGACCTTATTTCTAAATAAGGTCAATGACAACCATCATCTGCAAGTTGTTACTGACGATGTTCCTTAATATGATTACCACTGGTGTGTCAACCCTTAGCCGTCTCTTTACCATCAGGAATTCCCGTCAGCCTGCCTCATACAACGATATGTGCCCGTCTATGTCTGTCTTGTACTGAACGGTGGTGACATGCCCTACTGCTCCAAGGCATACTCCAGCCATGCCGACGATGGGGATCTTCTGCATGGAAATCATCTTCATGCGTAATTTCTAAGATCCACGTGATTAAAGAGCACACAACATGAGCCATCTCGCGAGGAGATCGAATGGTTTTTATGGCTTTTATATAAGGATCGAGCTACATAGGTTTAGTTGTATGGCTTGGATCGACGATATGTTTAGATTATGATAAAAAAATATGGATATGATATATATGGATGATCGGATGATATAGTAGATCTGGATTTTTTTTATGGATGATGGGTGATATGGATAATATAGATGTTAAGTAGAGTTTAAAAATATTGATAAATACATTTATGTGGATGATCAGAAGTTTTCTTCTTTATTTTCTTCATGCATGGTGGCATCTTATGTTTTCTATAGATACAGGTCTAGTGATCGATGTGTAGCGGAGTTTAGCAATATTGATAAAAATGAAATGAAAGAAAAGAGAAATAAAACTATAGAAATCTAAAAATAAAAATAATTTAGTAGTAAAAATTGTCTATCTTTTGTTGGTGTGGATATGTGTGAAATATTTGCAAATGCTATTTTTCATATGCTATCTTTCATATGGTGCAGCCAGGTTGTAAACCGAACAGGTTTGAAAAGTTCGGATTCCGAGTTGGACCCAAACTAGGGTTTTGAACGTGAATTCTAGCTTTTCCTTGCGCGGGAAGTCCATCCGCCTCTTATATACCTAAGGGGTGACGGCCGATTGAACAACAACACGCAATCGATGAGTTCATCTACCACGTTTTACCTTTATCTTTTATCTTCTCCCTTGTTATTTTTCTTCCTCATTCTTTGTTTGTTCTTTTTGTTGCAGGGCGGCGAACCTCGAAGCCCTAGGGGCGATCTGGTCGAGCTAGGGCAGCCCATAGCCGCCACGCGCGCAGACGGGGTCCCTCCCGGGCACGTGGTATTTCGGGTTCTCAAAAGCATCCGCCGGATTGCTTGCGTACCGCGTTTCCGGACAGGTCTCCTTCAACGTGAGCTGCAGTGCATCACCCCGGCGTTGGAGGTACATGATGACGTGTTCATATGCGTACACCGTGGGCTCGTCCTCGCCCACTTCCATGATCCTTCGATGAAAAATCATGATGCGAGCCGGGGCTATAACCCTCATTTTAGGAGAAAAAAAAAGAATGGTGTTCACACGCCGGGCCAAGCATAGCAAGACAGTTAAACAGAGCTGTCAATCAAAGCTTGGCCCGAGCGACACGGTTTCTAGAGGCCAGCCCTCAGTCCGGACGCTCAAGCTTAAACACGCACCTCACGTCCAGGAATTCACCAGTCGAAAACCACCAAACTAGTGCATGGTGATGACATTTTTGCCAGTGGCGACACGGCGCGGAGCTATCAAAGCTTGGCCCGAGCGAAACGACTCGAACATGCACCACTCATCCCGTGGAGACGAACAGAAACCTCTACGAAGGCCAATGAAATAGTTAGCTGCTTCCATAAGCGTTCCAATTGGACGTAGACATGCAGTCCAAGTCCAATAGTACGTACAATCCAGCTGTGTCTGCTTGCTTGCTGACCAGTCAAGAGTGCAAAACTTTCTTCAGTCCCCTGAGAACGGCAGGATGAGGTCATCGTCATTGCTTGTATATACGTATTCCACGGTGGCAGAGCACTCTCGGCCTTACAAAACGCTCCGTCTCCCCTTATATATACCACATTACCACGGCAGCCGAAGCTAGCAAAACCTACACCAACAGGCTTGCTTGCTAGGTACGTACTAGCTAGCTAGCTCTGGTATTCAATGTTGGCGCCGCCTCACCTCGCAGCGCTGCTTCTTCTACCTCGAGTTGCTGCCTCTCACAGCTCCCTCTCTCTTTCTCTGGTTGTTTCTCTCAAGAACACATGAGAACACACACGCACACATGCATCAAGAGAAATACAATGACTTTGCCAAAAGCACTTTCTTGGTGGCACACCGTGGCTACATGTTTACTTCAGCCCTCTCGGCCTCGGCTCAAACAACAAGCTTTACATCTCTTATATAGAGACTCACGCGCACACACAGCCACGGCCACACCGGCCACTAACTCACGCATGCACGGGCCAGCCGCCCGGCTGCTAACCCACTAACCCATGCACTAACTAATTCCTAAAGTCTCTCCATGATCCATATGGCTCGGACACCACCTCTGACCACTCCAACTACATGCATGCACAAACTACTTACCCAACCATTCTATCGGCTAGGACCCAACAAACTGAACGACCTGCCGGTTCACCCGACTCAACTTGATGCGGTCCATCACGCTCCAGTCTTCGTCACGTCTTGCCGCTTCTCGTGACCTTGTCGTACCTCACAGCATCATGAGCATCTTGTCATGCTCGCCCCATCACATGGCCGCCCGGCATCTCGCCTTCTTCATGCACAACCAAAGCTTCACCGGCCTACATCACCCTACTACCATCTAAACTACATGCAGATACATGAATCAAGATTAAACCTAACATTTTCCCTCCTAATCTTGATTCTTCAATCTTCACGCGGCTTCACCCGCTGCCACTTGACGACGCCATCGCGGCGCTACACAATTTGTCGTGGACCGACGCCATCGCAGCGCCGGCGTCCATCACCATGTCCTCTTGCCGCACGCGGCGGCCACCTCTTGACGTGGAGGACGTTGTCGCAACGCCGATCACGATGCCGTCTTCGTCAAGCGGCATTGCACCGCAACTTTTTTTTGCTGGCTTAACACCAACTTTCCATGATGACGATGGCATGACACCACCGTCGTCGGAATCGCACCGACTCTTCTTGTGGCAGCTCCGCACCACCATCTTCACATAGCGGCACCGCATGGCCACCCTCCTTCTTCTTGCGCTGTCGGCCTCCATCGCGCCACAGCCGACGCCGTCGCAGCGCCGGTCACCATGGACCGTCTTGTCGTGGATGACGTCCTCGCGAGGCCGACCATCACACCATCATCATATTGCGGCATCGCACCGCAATCGGCCACCAGCGGCATCGCGCCGCCAACGGCCTCCACCTTGCGCCACCGTCCTCCACCTCACATGGAGTCGGCCGCGCCGCCGTCGCCGCCTCGGATCTACCGGGGCTCTGATGCCAATTGTTGGCGCCGCCTCACCTCGCAGCGCTGCTTCTTCTACCTCGAGTTGCTGCCTCTCACAGCTCCCTCTCTCTTTCTCTGGTTGTTTCTCTCAAGAACACATGAGAACACACACGCACACATGCACCAAGAGAAATACAATGACTTTGCCAAAAGCACTTTCTTGGTGGCACACCGTGGCTACATGTTTACTTCAGCCCTCTCGGCCTCGGCTCAAACAACAAGCTTTACATCTCTTATATAGAGACTCACGCGCACACACAGCCACGGCCACACCGGCCACTAACTCACGCATGCACGGGCCAGCCGCCACTCTCGGCTGCTAACCCACTAACCCATGCACTAACTAATTCCTAAAGTCTCTCCATGATCCATATGGCTCGGACACCACCTCTGACCACTCCAACTACATGCATGCACAAACTACTTACCCAACCATTCTATCGGCTAGGACCCAACAAACTGAACGACCTGCCGGTTCACCCGACTCAACTTGATGCGGTCCATCACGCTCCAGTCTTCGTCACGTCTTGCCGCTTCTCGTGACCTTGTCGTACCTCACAGCATCATGAGCATCTTGTCATGCTCGCCCCATCACATGGCCGCCCGGCATCTCGCCTTCTTCGTGCACAACCAAAGCTTCACCGGCCTACATCACCCTACTACCATCTAAACTACATGCAGATACATGAATCAAGATTAAACCTAACATTCAACACAATAACTTACTGGCTCAATGGCCGCCACCCGAGCGTGCTTGGTTGTGCTAGTCGTGGCTCTCACGTTTCTCTGCTTGGACGGCCGGGCGGCGGCGGCGCCGGCGACTGCTGGGAGTTTGGCTCAGCGGCGGCAGGAGGTGCAAAGCCTCCTCAGGCGGCTCAATAAGCCTGCTCTCGCAACCATTCAGGTACATACACAGTGATAGTTGCGCCGCGTGTACGTACGTCCTGTTGTTGTCGTTCAGCACACACATGCATATGCAAACCTTGCTTCTCTTCTTTCAGCACACATGCACGGTCCATTTTTATTTGCATTTATGTCGTCTCACAAGCCATGCACGCAAGCAGTGGGTAGTCTTCATGCATGGAGGGTTTTTAACGCTGACAGCTGTAAAATTCATTGATTTGAAAGGGGTATTACAAGAATATTCCCAAAGGAGAAGTGCACCGCATGAAGGTAAGTGCCATCAAAAAAAGGAAGAAAAAGGGATTGCTCGGTTTATTCAGGAAATCCGAGCGAAACCTGTGAACACCGCCTAGCTAGACTAGACCTATAGCAACGCAATACTCTCACCATTTTTATTTACTCCGCATATTAGCTTTGACCTAATTCAAACTTTATAAAGTTTGACCAAGTTTATGAAAAACAATTCAATCTTTAATAATAAAATATATATGATATGGAAATATATTGAATGATGATTCTAATGGTATCAATTTATATTGTGGATCTAAATGTTTTTTTTTGCATAAACTTGGTCAAACTTTAGAAAGTTCAATTTGAGACAAAGCTAATATGCGAAGTAAATAGAAACGGAGGGAGTACATAAAAAACTCCAGAAAGCAAAACACCCCACAATACACTCAACCATGCACTCGAGCACCTTCGCCACTACCAGAATGCCCACCTAAAAACCATCGTACTACTCCGTGCTTGCCACAAGCATATCCGCTAAACCTTGACGACACCGGAAAGGAACGACATGTCTGATAGAGAGAACCTATGCTACTCCGATCCCACGAGGTTGATAAATCTCCTGGCACTCCTTGTATGTGAAGAGTGGTCCTGCTGCTCACCACCATCGACCAAACGATCGGTCCTAAATGAATGCCTGATGAAAATCTCCATGCTCACCACATCTCTGCCATCTCCTAATCAACCACACTACCACTAACCCAGTGCTACCACCACAAGGCTTGGCTCCAAAGGCAATGCTCCCAATGAAACAATGATGCCACACACACCACTATTACATATGGTTTTCGACAGAAGACAAGAACTTAAGGTTGGGAGTGGTGCCTCCAACAAGGAAAACAACACCCAGAGGCATCATTACCACTAGCCCCCACGAAAGATGGCATGACTTCCATTCAGAGAGTCAAGCACCTATGTTGGGGACGATGTCTCCAACACACCATCACCAGATCAAAGCCAGTAGACGCCACATGATATACCACATAGATCTTGCCAGAGCATCATCGGCGTGCAAGCTCGGCAACACCCCAAGGCCATGCCAACCAGGCACCACCTCAAACTATCATCCCGTCATGGAGCCACCATGCATACAACTGCAAAACCTACCGTCGATCAAGCATCCTCGAGGCCTCCAGCCGCAGAAGCAACCAGCCTCCAAAGCTCTAGATCTAAGTTGGGAACCTGCCATATCGGGCCGCCCGAGATGGATGGCACCTCCCGACATCACCCCCGCGGATCCCGGACGTACCACACATAGCAGCATGCCCATGATAGCCCACAACACACATGGTCGTGCACTCAAGTACCTTCGCTGCTACCAGAATGCCCACCAAAAACCATCGTATTACTTCAGGCTTGCCAAAAGCATATCCGCGAAACCTCGACGACACCGAAAAGGAATGATATGTCTGATAGAGAGAACCTATGATACTCCGAAATTACCAGGTTGACTACCATAAGTCTGCTGGTGCTCCTCGTATGTGAATAGTGCTCTTGCTGCTCACCACCCATCGACGGAATGAACTGTCCTAAATGAATGCCCGACAAAAAACTCCATGCTCACCACCTCGCTGCCATATCCTAATTTAACCACACTGCCACTGACACGGTGCTCCCACCACAAGGATTGACTCCAAGGCAATGCTCCCAATGAAATAATGATGCCATAGGCACCACCACTAAATACGATTTTCACCAGAAGACAAGAACTTGAGGTCGGGAGAGGTGTTGGGTCCCCTCGGTGGTACCTCCAACAAGGAAAACTACACCCGAAGGCATCATTCGCCACCAGCTCCCACCAAAGTCGGTATGACTTCCATTCGAAGAACCGAGCACCTGTGTCGGGGACGACGTCTCCAACACACAATCACCAGACGGGAGCTAGTAGATGCCACATGATGTACCTCGTAGATCTTTCTAGAGCATCACCGACAGTGCAAGCTCGACAGCACTCGAAGGCCCTGCCTAGCTAGGCACCACCTCAAACTACCATCCCATCATGGAGTCACAACGCATACCGCTGCAGAACCTGTCTCCATTGATCATCCTCCAAGCCTCCGGCTGCCAGTGCACCGTCGGGAAATACCAGCAAGAAACCCACCACTTGACCAAGAGACCGCCAAACTGGAGGAGCTGTTGAAGCAAAGCATCCAGACTCCCTGCACACCAATGCCAACAAGCACCTCGGGCCCCATCAGCCATGACCGAGCAACCATTGGGCTACCAGCATCCAAAGCTACAGATCTAGGTAGGGAACCTGCCAGATTGGGCCGGCTGAGATGGATGCCCACCCTACATGTACTGAGAAGATGTGTAATGTATAATGAAATAGTGCGGTCTATTTTTATACTTATTTAAGCCAGATCTACGTCTAAGTTGCGGCCATATAGTGATAAATTTATATATGGTTTAAATTGGCAACAACTCCTAATACATTCACTAAACGGACCACACTATTTTATCCTACATTACACATCATCAATAAGTAGCATGTATGTAAGATCTAACATTCACTAGTTTGCTCGTAATATTCTCCTGTTTTTGTTAAAACCACTGATTGCCAGAAATCAACAGAGCCCAGATGGAGATGTCATCGACTGTGTGCATATCTCCAAACAGCCTGCATTTGACCATCCTCTCCTCAAGAACCATACTATCCAGGTAATGATTTGAAGCACCATTTCCCTTTTCATATCACCGTCACCTGTAGACAAGTCATAGTTCCCCATACTATCACACACACATACCATGATATCACTCAACCGCTACTTTTCAGATGCGGCCTTCTTACCACCCAGGAGGCATATATCATAACTCCAACATCGCCCCCCATCCAATCACCCAAACATGGCATCAAAATGGCAAGTGCCCTAAGAACACCATACCAATCCGAAGGACCAATGAGGACGACGTCTTAAGGGCCATTTCCGTCGACAGGTATGGCAAAAAGAGACCAGGGAGCATCCCAAACACAAGTTCAATCAATGACCCTAACACATCCAATATAATGAGTGGGCACCAGGTACAAAATTCCATTTAAGAATCATGTTAATGTCGTAATAATCTTCCTCTTGGAATGTTAACATTATTATTTTGGAAAGTGCTCATTTAGCTTTGCTTTCTCTTCCATTGAGCAGTATGCCATAGCATCTTCAAATGTTGATAAGTGCCATGGAACGAAAGCCACCTTCAATTTGTGGCAACCAACGATTGGGAGGGACAATGACTTCAGCTTGACCCAACTTTGGATAGTTGGGGGTTCCTACGAAGGCAATGATCTCAATACTATTGAAGCAGGATGGCAGGTTAGATAGTGAAGGGAAACATTAAACCCACCTTCAAAAAAGATATATTAAACTCTATCTTTTAGGTTCTATGCATGTTATATGTGATGTTGAAAGTATCAGAGCATAAGTATGAGCTAGTGTAGATTCTCCATTGATACAAAGGTTTTTTGTATCATAAGTTGTGCTGGTAGAATTTTTTAAGAGCTAAGGGCATGTAGAAAGCTATACAATATAGAAACCTTTTGTCTTTATTCGTGTACATCTTATCTACAGGTATTGTTAAAGACAACTTCCCTAGTGGGATGTCTTTCAATCTACAAGACATGTTGTAGTATTTAATTCTAATTCTATAATCAAATTGTCTATACATGCCAATATAGAAAACAATTTTGAGTAACATGCTAATCTGCACGTAAACTGCACATCTCAGACGTTATGAAAAAATATCTAACCCTCTAAATAAGCATACGAACTACATATTTTCCCTTATTACTGTTAATACTAAAAAATAAACAGAATAAGTTAGATATTAAAATAGTCATCCTTCCATTATAAAGAAAAATGTAACTGTACATACATATGTTCCAAACTCAAAATAAACTTTTATGCCATGTGTTAGTGGTGGCAGAGAGCGGATCGAGCCGGGGCCTAGGAAATACCAGCATGTACTCATGCTACCGTGCTAAGTAGTGTAAAACTGCTACAATCATTAAAGAAATCTTGCATGGTCGAGGCAGCCCTGATCCCGTCTCTTGCCCTCTGTATCACCATGCAAACCTTGCATGCATGTAGCTAGAGTGCACTAATGAGAATGTCTATTTCAATGTTTTTGCCATTATTTAATTACTATGCATTTTATTTCACGGTGCAGTAAGTTGTGCAGTCTCTTTCATTTTGCTAATGGTGCCATTCTCTCTACAAAATTTTCAGGTTTACCCAAATTTTTATAAGGATAACAATCCTAGACTCTTCATCTACTGGACTGTAAGAAACACATTCCATCATATCTTCATTATTACCCATATTGGGTCCATATTTTATTAATGCTGGGAATAGCATCATGCCACTAATTTTCCATTGTTGTGTAATATTGTAGCGTGATGCATATGAAAGCACAGGATGTTACAACCTAAAGTGCTCAGGGTTCGTCCAGATGAATAATCAGATTGCAATTGGTGGCACCTTATCCCCAGTATCCACCTATGGTGGTGCACAATATGACTTTGATATTTTAGTTTGGAAGGTAATACAACGTAATAAGCTTTCACATCATCAGTATTGAGTATTGAGTAGTGTGTAATAACCACTTCAACCTGAAAGCTTAAAACTAACGGGGAGATGTGTGCAATTCACCATGTGCAGCCTCCCTTATGTGTCAAATGTGGTACAATCATTTTAGTTTATTCTAGCCACTAGGATATCATTTTATTTTATTGCATCAACTAGGATTTGACCTCGAGACTTCTAGGCCTTAGTTACATGCACTAGCTCTTAGTTGCATGCACTAACCAATTCAGCCAAAAGAATTAAGATGATGGGAAGGAGTGAGTGATTCACTTAATTATACTTCAACATTAAGCATACAAAATCAAACTCATGAACGGGCACAAAGAATCCATGTCAACTACCTCATGTTCTTTTCAAAACTATTTCTCATGGCCTCTTTGTGGTCTCAATAATAGTGTATGGTTCTCCCCATGCATGTTTCACATTTTTCCGCAAATTCAACACTCTTGAGTCAGCTATTAAACAAGGGCTCTTTCAAGTTACTCCTTCTTGCTCGGTTATAGGAAAAACAAATAGATATCAGCCATTGCTTTAAAATGAGGCCACGTAATTAAGACATTTTCATAAGAAATTGACGGGCGAATAACATTTACATGTGATCTGTGATGCATAGTCGTGTGGTTGGTAGATCTACGTGATGCCCTCCATGTCTTAATATTTTAATTCCTTGTTTCTATTTATTCATCCCATTATAGTGTCAGCTACTGAACTAGCATTGAAACTCATGAGTATTGATATTGTTTTCATACTGCCACCAAGAATGAGAGTAATGAGATTGTACAAACAAGGTATTTTGTACTCCCTTCATCCAATATATAGCACATCTTAACAAGAAGTTGGATACAAAAGAAGAGTTTAGAGCGGTTATGGAGGCTTCTAGCATTAGCTCATGCAATTGTTGGTCATAATTATTTCGGTATCCATTGGCTCATTCTGTGTTGATTTTCTAAATACACATTATGTTGTTGGGAAAATGTTGAAAAATTAGCGTGCATTATGTTTCGGGGCAGAGGGAGTAGTAGTGACCAGATTATGGGAAATAGTATAAAAAAATCATCTGCTCCTACATGGTGTGACAAGGTTTTAAAGTATGCATGGTGTTACTTAGTCATCAAATACTTATATAAACACTTTGGATTCAATACTCAATTAGGAAACAAACCCCCTATTAACTTGTATTTTGAAACAAAATGTACTAAATACCTATGATAGTTTTGAAAAAAGGTTGGGCCCTCTCCCTTAATCTCAGCCCTTTGGATAAAATGGATGGAGCATTCATAGTAGTTTGGGTGTACCTTAAAGACTACCTTTGAAAAAGACTTCAAAGGATTTTCAAGGTGAGATTTTGCCAAGAATTCATTCATAATGGCATATCCATATAAAGTAAAGTAATTTCTTCCCCTTGCATGACTAACAAGAACCTCTTCCCAATATAATATTTAAAGTTTCCTGGAAAATTGTAAGGTTTCCATGTCCATTCTTTGCAATGCTACACCTATGAACTGAGGTCGACAGAAACTCCTCTATGTTGATGTGGAGAATAACGGTTGTGGCTGCTTTTTTGAACTTATCAATTGATTGGTCTTTCTTATTTGTAGCTCTTAAGTAGAGTTTTATTTAAGTTGTTTGTAGATGCAACATTAACTATGCTCTTCCATTATAATCCCATCAATGGGAAACACCTTTCCATAGTGAACATAGGGAACACATAAACTCACTTTTGCGTTGTGATACGCTAGCCCTTTAGTATTATGTTTTTGGCATTTCTTTTGGGACTTAATGGATCTAAAGTCTATTCCATTCCCATGATATTTTATACTATATTATCTAGTAAAATAAATTCTGGCTTGCAGGACCCAAAGGAGGGCAACTGGTGGCTGCAAATGGGGAGTGATTATGTAGGATATTGGCCATCATCCATTTTCACGTACTTGGCAGATAGTGCCTCTACTATACAATGGGGAGGTGAGATAGCGTCATCTGATCTCGGCCAAACTTCCACAGATATGGGTAGTGGACACTTCCCAGAGGAAGGGTTCGGCAAGGCCAGTCATGTCAAGAATATACAAGTGGTAGATTCATCCAACATTCTCAAACCGCCAAGTGATGTGACCACTATAGCTGGGCAGCGCAGCTGCTATAACGTGCACAATGGTATCTCTGACAACTTGGGCACTTACATATTCTATGGGGGCCCTGGGAAGAACTCTAACTGCCCATGATCAATACGCCTTTAGTATTATAATTATTTATGGATTACTAGTGGCCCAATACGTATTGTTAGGGTCTATACTAATGCAATAGTATGTGTGGCCATGTGTGGCGTTCGAATGCTCTACTAGTGTGTGTATGTCTACACTCGTAAGAGGTGGGAACAAGCAATTTAAGCTTGCATAATATGTATTCATTTCCCACCACATGTTTGAGAATATGGAATAAGAAGCTTTGGTCATCTGCTATTACAGATTGTATAGCATTGGAGCTAAATATCATATACTATCAGTAAGGATAAGAACATTTACATCCATGATAATAGACACTAGCGGCAAGATATTTTGGAGCTCAAAATAATGGTTTTCATTAATACATACATTTTATTGTATTTATTGCAAGAGTTTACTGATTCATTTAAGCAAATCTTAGAGACAAAACATTTCTTCTTGAGTTAAATACACTGAAGGTGCCTTATCTTGTCCAGCACTGTCACTTTGGTGCCCAAAGTTAAAAATACACAAAACTAGTGCTATGGTGCATATACGGTGCCTCGGTGCATATCGACGTGCATGAAGAAATAGCAGAAGGAAACGAGAATAGTGGAAATGTCGATTCTATTCAGAAGGAAACTTTCTTCAGTCTTCTTAAAAAAGAAAAATGCATCTCATTTCTTGTATATAGACATGTATATATATATTTTTTGAATTTCCCCACCTAAATTGTATTCATTTGCTTATAAGGCTTTTGCAGCCTATCGCAAGATAGGTTCAAGTGAACCAGAGGTACAAGGGGCACAAGGAAGAAGTGATAAACAGAAAACAACGCACGCCAACAACACACATAACACAAGGAACAACGAGGGAAAACACAACAAAGAGCATCAAAGGAGAAATCTAACGGCATTGGCCAGCCGGAAAAAACCACGACACTGCACCGTTGACGCAATCGAAAGGCTCCACGCATCCGAGACTGCACAACGCCGCGACACCACCTGTTTCGCGACGCACCTTCGAAGGGATACGCGAGGACGAGACGACGCCACGGCACCTGTGTGCCACCGCCATAGTCAAAGGGCATCGCCTAGCAAACCAAACCGCGGCACTGCACCATCGACGCAATCGAAAGGCACCACACAACCGAGACTGCACGACGCCACGACACCACCTGTGTCGGGGGTACATTCGAAAGGTTATGCAAGGCCGAGACGACGCCACAGCACCTGTGTGCCGATGGCGTAGCCGCAGGGCACCGCCAAGCAGAGACGCACCGAGGAGCACTCGAGCACGACACACACCACCGTCGACCCCAGACCTGCCGCACCACAACCACCGACCACCCGCTTCAAACCAGCAAAACACCACCCCCAAACCTCAGGCAAGCAGCATGGAGCAGCGTCTCCACAGACAGGCGCCACCAAGGTGGTAAAACGACGTCAAAGACGTCGCCGGCGTCCAATCTAGTAGCTGGATCTAAGGCTTTCACCCAGAGAAAGAACAGAGTATGCAGGGAACAATGTATCACACAACGACACCTCCAGGGAGCGACACAGGGCTTTCACCCGAAGCATCACTCGCGCCATCTGCTTGCTGAGCCACGCCGCTGCTGAGACCGGAGTCACCACCGCCCGAAGGCACCAACCTCCTGCAACGACGGCTACCGAGCACCCGCAGAACCACACCAGGCTACCGAAGCAGCCAAAGGGGGTGGAACAGAGCATGGGGCGCCGGGGGGTGCCACATCGGATGGAGGACGCGAGCAGAGGAGGCACCTCACACACCCGATCTGGATCTAGCCGGAAGAGAAGGAATGGCTGGCCACCGGCCTGGCCCCGCCCCCACGCCGCCCGGGCAGCCGCAGGAGATGGCGCGACCACCACGCCGAGGCTAGGGACCGCACCCCGACGCCCAAAACCAGCCGCTGGCCCGGATCCGGCGCGCCAGCCAGATCCGCCGCCGAGGGGAGCGCCTGTGAGCGCCACGGCCAGGCGCCGGCGAGCAGGCTGCGCGTCACCTCAACGCCACCCCTGCTCCCCCAGCGCTCACTGCGCCCTCGGCATCGAGCTCGAGTGAAGACGCCACCGAGATGACCCCAGCCACCCAGCCACCACGCGTCCGCCGCAGATCTCCCCGAGCCACCTTCGGAGGCAGGGGGCCGCCGCCACCACTGCGAGGCCAGCGGCAGTGGCGGAGGAGAGGAGGCGCAGGGGAGGGGGCCGCCGGCGACGCTCGAAGTTCCCCCGAGTCGCCCGAGCGGAGCGACGCAGGGTCTCTTGTCCAGTAGCTGGCCTTTTCGACACGTATATATTTCACACTGCGTAAAGAGCATATTAGGTACCGAAGATTAGTGGGAGTAGTGCTAATCCTGGCGGATGGTCGCCGCTACTGCTCCAAGGAAGCAGAAGATGCACATGCTACACGAGAGTCATCATGTGTGCTACGTTTTGATTTTCTTCTTCAAGTTTGGGGTCAAGTAGTCATCTTGCTGTGCCATGTAAATTGTGTCGTCGATAATAATTTACATTCCACCGTGAGTTTCTAGGTGGTTTTTATAGACATAATTTCGGCATGAAGTTTTTTTGAATTACGAATTCCGTGCAAGTTTTCTTTTAGTAGACTGTACCTCTCTATATATTGATCAAATAGCAAGAGTGTTTTGGGGTACAAACGTCTTCAGGCGGATCTATCAGCCATACATACTGGCCGATATCATTTCTCAGAGAAGATCGTGCCAACCTGTGTATTTCTTTATTTGAATTTCTTGCTTCATGCCAAAAGGTAATACCTTCAAACTCGTCTCCTCTGGCCCAGGGCATCTCCAAAACGGATCCTCAAATCATCCGCAATTGTTTGGACTGTGTGGTCCGGACGTGTTTAGCCATCCAATGCAGGTCCGTATCGGTCCGTCAACCGGTCTGGATGCACTTTCTCCCGTAAACCCGAAACAAACTTGGGAGAGGGGGTGGGGGTGCACTACTAGGGAAAAGGCTAGCAGCAACGCGGGTTTTAGACCTATCAGTAGCGCGGGGTGGTGCGCTACTGATAAGGCGCTACAGCTAACGAATAGCAGTAGCGTGCCTCCACCCATGCTACGGCTAAATCGACTTAGTAGCAGCGAGTTCCAGGAGGAGCGCTGCTGGTAATTAGTAGTAGCGCTTCTCTCTGCCCGCGCTGCTATTATTATTTTGTATTTTATTTCTTTTTTATTTCATGTTGTATTCGTACACATTTACACAAATTTTTATACAACAGGAATTTACAAATTGTTTTTACATCATAATGAGTTATTACATCACGGGGTGAAAGAACCGTGTGGACTAGTTTCAAGTGGACGGACATCCACTTGAAACTAATCCGCGGTTCTTTCACCCAATGATATAATAAATATCATCATCATCATCATATCATTAACAACTTATCATCATCATCATCATCATCATCATATCATTGGTCACTAGTCGTAATCACAAGTACTCCTCACATCTTCAACTCTAACACATTGTATCACATAATAAACATATTGTACCTCATAGGACCTACTACATTCTCTTAGGACCTACTATATTCTCTAAGGTAAAATAGCAAAAAACAAGATAGCCCTCGCTCTCCATTATGGAGAATGCAGATTATCCTGTCTCCAATTCTTGCATTTCGCTTAATGTTGCTTCTAAGAACCTCCTTACGAATGTCCAAACATTTTTTCCACTCTATGATTAGCATGTGTTCATCGGTTTCAGAAATACGATATGTTGGGAAACGTTGCAGAAAATTAAAATTTTTCCAGCGGTTTCACCAAGATCCATCTATGAGTTCATCTAAGCAACGAGTCAAGGGAGAGAGTTTGCATCTACATACCACTTGTAGATCACGAGCGGAAGCTAGCCAAGGGGATGGTGATGATGGAGTCGTACTCGAACGTGATTCGGATCACCGATGTCCAAGTGCTGAACGGACAGCACCTCCGCGTTCAACACACGTACGGGACGGGAGACGTCTCCTCCTTCTTGATCCAGCAAGGGAGAAGGAGAGGTTGAGGAAGATTGCTCCAACAGCAGCACGACGACGTGGTGTAGTTGGTGCAGCAGTACTTCGACAGGGCTTCGCCAAGCATATACGGAGGAGGAGAGGTGTTGGGGAAGGGAGGGGCTGCGCCTTGGCTTGTGTTCAGCTCCCATGCGCCTCCCCACTATATATAGGGGTGGAGGGGATGGTTTCTTGCCCTCCAAGTCCATTGGGGCGTTGGCCAAGGTGGGAGGAAAGAAATCCCATCATTTCCTTCCCCACCGATTGTTATCCCCCCTTTTTAGGGATATTGATCTTATCCCTTCGGGATATGATCTTATTCCTTCTAAGGGGGGATCTTGGTGCGCCTTGACCAGGGGTGTGGGGCCTTTCCCCCACTACTCACGTTCATGTGGGTCCCCCCATGCAGGTGGGCCCCACTCCGGAACCTTCTAGAACCTTCCCGGTACAATACCGAAAAATCCCGAACATTTTCCGGTGGCCAAAATAGGACTTCCCATATATAAATCTTTACCTCCGGACCATTCCGGAACTCCTCGTGACGTCCGGGATCTCATCCGGGACTCCGAACAACATTCGGTAACCACATACAAACTTCCTTTATAACCCTAGCGTCATCGAACCTTAAGTGTGTAGATCCTACGGGTTCGGGAGACATGTAGACATGACCGAGACGTTCTCCGGTCAATAACCAACAGCGGGATCTGGATACCCATGTTGGCTCCCACATGCTTCTCGATGTTGTCATCGGATGAACCACGATGTCGAGGATTCGATCAAACCCTGTATACAATTCCCTTTGTCAATCGGTACGTTACTTGCCCGAGACTCGATCGTCGGTATCCCAATACCTTGTTCAGTCTCGTTACCGGCAAGTCACTTTACTCGTACCGTAATGCATGATCTCGCGGCCAACACTTTGGTTTCCTTGAGCTCATTATGATGATGCATTACCGAGTGGGCCCAGAGATACCTCTCCGTCATACGGA